GGTTATGATTTGCTCTGCTCTATTAGAGCAAGTCCACCCCAAAAGGCTAAGGCTAAGGTAAGGCAAAGGCTACCACTATTCATGTGAATAGTGGCAGCCTTGCCTTTTTTGGTTCCACCCCAAAAGGCTAGGGCAAGGGCAAGATAAAAAAAAGATTATGCAACAAAATATAAACAATTTAGAAATGTAAGAAATAAAATGATTATGCAAGAAAAAAAATAAATATGGAAGAAAATATAAAAAATTTACAAATGCAAGAAAAAAAAGGATTACAATTTACAAATATTGGAAGGAGAAGAGTTTGTATGAGGATTTGGTGTGGAAAGTGAATAAAATTGTTATGTATTTATAGGGAAAACATCCATAATTTTTTGGTTTTTTTTTTTTTTTTTTAAAAGAATTTTCTTTCAATTTTTTTCACTCGCTGATGTCAGCGTGACATCAGCACCTTCAAACTGCAGCCCAGGCAGAATTTGCCAGGGTTGGTGGAACCTAGGACTTGCCCGGACTGGATTTGTTGCGCTGGAGGGGGAATTGGGCTGTCGGGGTTACCTGCGTTGGACATGCTCTTAAGACCTGCCTTTGATTAGTTTTATGGAAAATTGGACATGTCACTAAAGTAGAATAGAAGTGTAGAACAGTAAAAGTTGGTGCTTTTAGTTTTTCTTTTTGTAATTTGTATGAACTGAAGGGAAAGCAAAAGAGAAAGATGATTCAAAGGCAGATTAGTTAGGCAGCAAATCTAACTGCGAAAAGGTTTATTAAAATACTCAGAACTTGACATTTTACAATCTCTCATTCACATCATAGTTTTTTCCCTTTGGTTTGTGAGGAAGATCCGTACATACTCTCGGAAACAATTTATTTTGATGATTCAACAAGCCAATAGTCCAAAAGTAGGAAGATGCACTTGAATTATCTACCTAGCATTATTTGATAAAAGATTGTTCCTTTCAACTGTTCTAACGTTGCACAGCTCATCAACTGAGTCCCCTCTCTCAAAAACTGCAGCAGCCCCCATACCCGAGCCTGCAACAAAGGACACACTCTCAGTCACGTCTTATATTATCACAAGCTCTCAGTAACAGGAAGAAGATGTGTGTGTGTGTGTGAGCGAGAGAGAGAGAAAGGGAGAGAAACCTATGCACATGGATATCACACCAAAGCGGTGATCCTTGCCACGGCGCTTCATCTCATTCAATAGAGTTGCAACACAGCGAGCACCTAACACACATAGATATCACACTTCTATTCACCAAACTTATAGAAAAATAATAATAATGTGATTGCATTTCCTCTTTGTTCAGTAGTTATATTAGTAATTAAACCAGATGATAGCATTAAACGAAATGTACATGCCTGTTTGTGTCATCACATGTCCACTTGAATTCATAGCTTAGCAGCAAAATATGAGGGAATGTGAAATTAAGACAAAATTTAATATACCTGTAGCGCCTAAAGGATGCCCTAGAGCAATAGCACCTCCATTGACATTGACTTTTTCAGGATCAAGCTCCAATTTCTTGCAACAATATACATATTGAGATGCAAATGCCTATAGCAAACCAATAAAACAGCTTAGTTAAGATAATTCAAGCCAAACCATATTTATCATGAATGTTATGGAAATCATTAGCACTATACTACCTCATTTATCTCAAATAGATCAATATCATCAAGCTCCAGACCAGCAGATTTCACCGCAACTGGAATTGCAGCAGCTGGACCTATTCCCATGACAGCGGGGTCAACGCCAACAGCAGCAAAACTCCTGCATGGAAAGGAGCAAATTGTAATCCAAGGTACAAATCACGCTTCTGTTATAGTTCACGAACAAACTTATCACAAGGAAATAACACCAATTAACACTGACAAGAAAATTAGTAAATGACCAAACCTCAAGCAGCTCATCTCTCCGCTTATGGTTCATTAATTTGCTATGAATTTTTGTTTCGATATTATAGTCATTTCAAGAGGCATAATAATCTTCAAAGTTTAAGTGATGAGTTAAATGTTATTTAACAGAAGTACAAATTTCATACCTGAAAACACCAAGAATAGGAAGCCCCTTCTGCATAGCTAAACTTCTCTTCATGAGGAGAACTGCTCCAGCACCATCACTCACCTGGCTAGCATTTCCTAAGAGACAAAAACAATGAACTGATTCACAATGCTTGATACAAGTCAAAAACATCTCACTCAAAGAAAAAGTTGTGTACAATTAAATGAAGATACTGTCATGGTTTACAGGCAGTGGGCGTCATGACAATCGAGTGATTAAATACCTGCAGTTGTAGACCCATCTGCTTTAAATGCAGGCTTTATCTTTGCCAAATCATTCATGTTTGCATTTGGCCGGATCCCATCATCCACAGAAATTGTAACAGGCCTCTCCTCTCCAGTTTTCGGATCCACAATCTATGCATACAAATAGTTAATTACAGAAAAATGAAAGACAGTCACCCAGGAGACCAAATTTCTGCGTTTACCTTAGTAGATACAGGGACAATTTCATCTTGGAATTTGCCTGATGCTGTTGCTGCAGCAGCACGGCTATGTGATTCAACCTATACAAATAAATTCATGAAACTACAGCTTCAGCATTATGAGTTTATCAAATAGCTAATGCCTGTCAACAGATAGAAAACTCACAGCAGCTTTGTCTTGCTCCTGCCGTGTCACACCATATCGCTGTGCAACATTTTCAGAGGTAATACCCATGGGAAGAAGGCAGTCACGGGCTTGTGCAAAGATATCTACCTGTTAACAGCATATATTCATCTCAAAAGAACATTCTTCATGTAAAACAAACTATAAAGTAAACAACTAGAGATGGAATATACTTTAGGGTTAATTTTGTTCATCGTGTCAATTTTATCAACTGACATGGACTCCAATCCAGCTGCAACACCTGCATTCAAAACAAAGGTCAATTCCACTGAAGGAGACCACCTAAAATAGATACTTAATCCAGAATATTCTCTCACCGATTTCATAGAATCCGGCTTTTATAGAAGCAGCTACATCAGCAACTGCCTGAAGGCCTGATGAACATTGCCTGTTGACGGTTCTGATGGGAACCGTATCTGGGCAAAACAGATGAATCATACAACTTTAGGCTAAAACAAATATAAGTAAATTACTTCAAACACCAAATATAGTCTAAAACTTACCAGGGAAACCAGCATAAAATGCAGCCATCCTGCACTCAATTGCTCTAAGTGAGCCAGGTGCCAAAACCGTACCAACAACTATATCCCCTACTTCACTTGGGTTCAAATTTGTCCTCTCAATTAGTGCCTGCATAAAAAGTAAAACGAATGAAAATTCAGAATAAGATAACTACCACATAATTATGATGGAATTCAAAGAAACATATTCATTCCTCTGGAATTCAGTTGAGAAGTGTATGCTAACCTTTAAAACAGGAGCCAGTAAATCATCAGGTGAAGTATCCTTAAAGCCTCCTCGCTTTGCTTTGCAAATGGCAGTACGGTAGGCTCTATTTAACATGATTTTACAGCAAGGTTTAACATAGAGAAGGCATAAACTCCACCCAAATATACACACAAAAAAACAAAAACAAAAAAAAGGGGCAAAAATTATTAAAAAAACCCTATATGAAATGGACTTTAGAAATACACCCAAAGCTCATTTACAACATAACAAAGAGGCTTTTAACTTCTTATAAATTACAAAAATGCCATTAATTTTTTAAAACAAGCCTTTAGAAATACACCCAAAGCTCATTTACAACATAACAAAGAGGCTTTTAACTTCTTATAAATTACAAAAATGCCATTAATTTCTTAAAACAAGCCCAACTCCAAAACCTCATAAAAAATACCCAAAACACTCAATAGGGCATTAAATTAAATAAGGCAAACTGTCATATTTTGGGTTTTTTTTGGGTTTGTTTATAGAAATTAAATGATGTAGGGTTTATCTATATTTTTAGTGCTGAGAAAGGGTATATGACTAAATATCTCCAAAAAAATAAAGGAATTAAAGAACTTTCTCAGATCAGGTAATTACTCACGCCACAATCACTACATCGTCTCCAAAAGCAGCTGTTCTGTGGTACGCAGCACTATCCCCAGCAGCACATATTGAAGCCTAACAAACAAATTACGAACAAAAAAGAATCAGCTACATAACATAAAGCAAAAATAGGTACAATCAAAGTTTCATTCTTTTTTTTATGAAACTGAAAAGGAAGAGAATTGAAGAGAAAATAAGCTGGAAACAAGAACATCAAGTAAAGGGTCACTACAATTAAATCCGATTATCGAAAATGGATATAAACTTACAGACAGGGCAGCAGATTGATGGGTTTCAGGAGGAGCAGAGGAAAAAGAAGAATTGGGCAACAGATGCCGAAGCAGAACACGCTGTCTGTTATGCGCTTTCTCCATCTCTCTCTCTCCAATATGAATTGCAGAAAGCTCTTTCAATCAATCACGCACTGTGGAGCAGTAACACATTAATCAATGGTTTATGGTTTTTATAGTTGAAATGAGGTTGGCCTCTTGAATTTCCAAGTAAACATTGACCACAAGACGAATCCACTTAGTCAATTGCAAAGGCAAAGGCACTGAAACAATAATGAGACCCCATTTGCTCGGTGGCTGCCTTTGGGGAAAATACAAGGAAATAATACCCCACGTTTTTCACACCAACCAAACGTTTGGCTTGCTCAGTTGCTGCTTCTCTCTCTAGTCTCTACCAACTTTTTTTATTTTTCTGTGGTGGCCCCTTTTAAAACCATTATTTATCCCTTTCTTTTCTAGTCGAAAACAAAGCAAAATCGAAAACAAAGCAAAATCATTGACTGAAGGCTGCGCGGCAAGTTCATTTCTTTTTCCTTTATTTTCGCCTTTTGGAGCCATCATTATCAAAGGTTGGTGAATGCAGGTCTTCGGTGACCAGGTAATTTCCGGTGCGCATGTTTCTTTTTTTTTACACTGAGCATCAATAATAAGAAAAGAAAAGGGGCCGGATAAACCAAAGCTCTATGAATTTCTGTGTATATACATATGGACAAACGTTTCTCCAGCCAAAAACATGGACACCAAACTTAGCAGAAAACTGTAGATGGTCTCTTGCTTGCATGCTAGTATGACCCGGTGTTTCTTTTACAAAAGAATAAAAAAATATGATCTCTTTATCAACAGAAGAACGAATCAATAGACCATCAAATTGTGAGGATAAACTGATCAGCCTCAAAGTTTTGTTCCTCAACCACGAGGGTTTCCACTGGAGATACTAGAGAAACCCAGTACCTGAAGAATGTCAAACGTTGGGCTTCATATGTCTTGTCTGATTCTGAGGTACCTTTGCCTGAAGTGCATTAGACATAGCTCGCAATCTGTTAGTTATCTCAGTGAATGATGGCCGGATTTCAGGATCAGGTGACCAGCACTGTTCCATCAGATTCCTCCACTCGGAATCACAACGTTCTGGAATAGGAGGTCGAAGAGTGTTCTTCACGATTCCCCCTGTGTTCAAAAGTTTCCAAATCAGGTGAAAAAATTAAAATAAAGATAAATAGAATCCATACTAATCGTAATTTAAAGCAAGCGGAACATGCAAAAGTAGAAGAAACTAAGTCTGCGGGCGTCAATGTTATGTTTGCTATTAAATTTAAAAATTACTAGCTCGAGGTGTGGTTGGAAGATATGTTCTACCTTGAGCTAAGAGACCCATGAATTAATATCCTAATGCATACAGCAACAAATGGTCCAAATGGAAGCAAGGATTTACAGCACCAAGCACAACATTTTTGAAAAGGTAAAACGAAAGCTAAAACTTCCACCAAGAGATTTTGAATCAACAAAATTTCTTTTATAAAAGAACTCATTTTATTGCCCTTCAGTTATCACATGGGACTTCCATTCAAAATCAATACTGATGATAAGAAGGTCCATGACATAATCTTACCAATGATGGCACCACAATGCATATTCGCATATGGTTCCTCCCCAGTCAAGATCTCCCACATTGAAATTCCAAATGAGAACACATCAACCTGTCAAAAAATAATGCCAATTACGTTAAAAAACAATCCATTTTTGCCTTCTACATTACAGCACCAAGCATAACAGTTCTACTAACCTTCTCAGAAACCCGGCTGCTGCTACCATTTAATAATTCTGGTGCCATCCAAGGAAGAGTTCCTCGCACACCACCAGATACCAAAGTATTGCGTTTGATTCTCGATAAACCAAAATCTCCAACCTAAAAGCATGAAACCCCAATCACCAGTATTAAAGGAAAATCCAAGCAATAAGTCTCCTGGGAAAACCTCAAAGAAAGAAAGAAACGTGGCTGAACTTCCACATAAAAGGTCCCGCAAAGGATACATGTACGTATAATTATGACTTTCCAGCCTCTTTGTGAGGGAAAAGAAAGCCCCCACTGGATCTCCCCAATTTCATGATCAGGGAAACTGTTGGCATTGAAATACTTACTATATGGTTTTGATAAAATTTGCAGTTCTTTTAAGGCATTTCACAGTCTGGAATTGTATAAAGACTACAAAGAAAAATGCTTTCCTATGAAGTGCATTTATGTCAGCCCTTGAATATGAAACTTGGTTTCAATCTAATTTACCTTGCATATAGGTCGTTGAGAATCCCTCAAGTTGACTAGCAGATTGTCACACTTCAAATCAAAATGGACAATATTCTTTGAATGCAAGTATTCCATGCCGAAAGCTGCATCCATTGCAATTATAAGCTTTCTACGACGGTCAAGTGATCTGCATAATGAATCCCCATGTTCTAAGATATGCAGAAAAAACTGTAAGAAGCAAATAAAGCAAAGAAATGATATCAAAATTACCTATCCTTCTTAAGTAGCGCATGCCTAAGTGACCCATTGACCATGAATTCAGCTACAGTTGCCAACGTCCCACCAGCTCCATCAGGTACTACCCCATAGAATGCAACCACATTTGGATGATGGAGATTTGAAAGGATCTGCGCCTCTCTCCAGAAGTCTTTTGTCTGGTACAGCCAAATTCAACTATCAACTTCACATGTGTGTCAAATTACGATTAAAATTATTTGTATTCATAAAGAATTCAAATTATCACTGAAATTTATAGATAACTACTTGGCTGTCTATAAGGTATACAACATATTCCAGATTTAAATGATACCCTGTTTTAGGACAGGCATGGATATTATAACAAATGCCAGAAGCCAAAGAATCTTTGAATTAATCAAAATTAATCAAAATTTTAATGTCACGGCTTATTGTCCAAGGAAGAGTTCTAAGATGTTGACTTTCTTCAACACCAATTATGCAGGAAATGAGAAAGAATAAAGCAAACAGATTGGAAAGAATGTTCAGCTGACCCACCAGTCGGTCTTGCTCTGATGATCTCCCTGCAAAACAGCTCTTTTTAATTCGCTTGATCGCAACATCTGTTCCCCGCCATTTTCCATGATAAACAGTTCCATATGTACCAGATCCTAATTCCCGTAATTCTTCCAGATCAGCATTTTTTATAATCTGGACATCATATTCAGAAGATTCAGTTGCATGAAGAAACCAAACTTCTATGAGTACCCACAAATGACAAAATGACAGGAAGCGGGTCTTTCACAAAAGAGGGGGCATTTCAGTCATACTTTTATCAAAAGGAGCAACACACAAACCCCATCTAAAACAATCAAACACAGTATGAGAATTTACACACGCATGAGTGATTTGTTGTTTCATGAGTAAGCAAACTGCACCACACATCCCTTTGTTTATCAGTGAATATAGCTCTCTCTCTATAGACTACACACACATGCATAAATATTATCAAGTCAGAAACTCGACAAGAACTTTTGTCACTGCAAAGTATTGAGCTCTGTATCCCTAAATAAAAATTGGCCACAAGTCAAAACTGTATACTCCAAATTAAGTGGTTATAGGCAAGAAATGCAAGAACCATCTCTTCTTATTAGGCAAAAACACAGTATTAGGAATTTAGGAGGCATGAGAAAGGTTGATAATCTCATCATATGCTATAGATCTTTTTTTAAAAATAAAAAAGAAAAGAACTCTCTCTTCTTTAAAGAAATAAATAATCAGTTTTACACTTTCCAATCAACACAATTATTAATGTCCTTAATGTTCACTGACAAGGCCAAGAAATCTCGTCAAAACATGTTATATAGCATGCTGCGTCGTACACTGGAGTGACAGAGGCTCCAGTCAGCAAACATACAATTTTGCCAAACATGAAACAAAATATGCATTTGCAGTATGTTAAACGAAAACATGTCCTAATCAGGAAAAATTAAGACATTGGAGGAATACCTGCAAGCCATAGATGCTGGCTTCCATTTCAGCTATCATTGCGTCACTAAATGATTCATTCTTGTCTCCCTCACCAGCCCTATCATCCTACAAATATAACAAGCCGGAATTCAAGCCCACGAGTAGATACATAATTTACAAAATCAGTTCCAGAAAATTTAATCAATTCTACCTCATATTCAGACTCTGGAATGATGCTCTCCACCTCTGTTGCAATAGGGGATATGAGATCACCAATGGGTTCATCCACAGAATATGGGGAAACTACTGATGAAAACTGGATGCCAGGAGTAATAGTGTCAGTTACGTCTTCCACAATTATCACTGACTCCAACTGCTTTTTATCATTACTCACTGTTAGGGGTTTTGGTTGTCTCAGAGCAACATTTTCAACAACATTCGAGCTCAACTTCTCAGCATTCTCATCAGGGCAATTTACAAAGTCATCATCAATGAGAGAGACCCCTCTTTTAAATGCAGCATCTTGGATTGGGTTCTGCAACACCCTATGGTCACTGTCTTGCAACTCAGGGTCATCAAGAACTGTCAACGGGTACATCTTTGCAGAGTGTATTAGCAGGGGTTCTTGGAAACCTATATCCTTTTGACTTGCAACAAGTTGCAGACGTGCAGGTTCATGGTAGTTTGGGCCATCGGACAACCCTGAGATGAGATCTGCCAAAGAATTTTCATTGCGAGAATGCTGTCTAGTACTTGGAAATAATCCTGCAACTTCAGAATTCCTGACCCCTGAAACATCCTGTCCTTGTTCACCATTTGCAGTCCCTGTCAAAGCACAATCCTGATCATTGGCAGTTCTTTGGCTCGTGACAAGAATATTTACAGGGGTTTTGTCATGTTGGAAGTTCTTAGGTTCCTCCATCTTGTTATCTACCGAAGGTTTCAAACTAATGGCTGCAGGAATGACAACCCCAGACATAAAACTAGATGTTGGGTTGGGATTTATATTAGGCAATCCATTCCGATACTCAACACCAGTGGCAGGTGATCTTGTCCCATAAAGGGTCTCATCTTGATGAAGGAAGGGATCCTTTTCATTGAACTTCTTTGTCAGTTCCGAAGGCAAAGAATCTTTCTTTTTAGATGTCCAGTATTTGTCAGGAATATCACCATTACCTTTGGGAGCATGTTCATTCCTGCCCAAAGATTCTAAACATGGAGAAGAATTTGGCAAATCCAGTCTTCTCTGCAATCCAATCGACTCCATACCATGTAACTGATTTTGCAGCTGAGGATTGAAAGATTCGATATTGTCATGCAGTTGGGTTGGCTTTTCTTGTGAGGCACCTGAGTTCAGCAGCAATGACAATTGAGCTTTTGGGAAGTTTAATGGGGAAGATGGGCTCATGCCTTCTTGTGAACAGTATATAGACCTCCCTCCATTCTCTTGCAGTTTTGAATCAGAAAATGCATGTGGTATGCCATGATGACAATCAGTGGAATCATTAGATCCTGACAACATAACCTTTGGATGTTCTGGGTGTGAGATAGGCCTGTCAGGAGGAGTTAATGTTTCCTTATAGACTGGCCTCTCATGAGAAAATCCATCAAAATCACCTTCATTTTGACCAAAAGCTAAAGCAGATGTGGCATCTTTGCTGGGATTGCGGTTGTTACTATGTCCTCCATAGTGTTGGCCAGGTTCCATAAAAGTTACTGTCCCCAGTGGATGATTTTTATAACCTGCAGCGCTGATGCTGGAGTTCTCTGGTGGTGGTTGAGAACTAACAAAAGAACTGCTGCTCTCATTACTACCCTGGCATGAGTTAACACCACGTGATTGTAAATGAACACTGTTGGAATCACCTCGTTGATGTGTAATTGGAGAAAAAGAAGGAGATTGAATGGCAGACCTAGCCATATTCTGGGATTCACTCAAAATCTGATTAGGATGCAAGACTTTAGAATCACTCTTAATCTCCATAGGAAATAGCAAAGTCTTGGTTCCCTGTTGACTTGCTTCAGTCAAATTCTGCCCTCCACCGTTTTTCCTAGGACTAGGATCTATCATGCCATTTACAGCAGCAACATATTGATAATCAGGGTTGCTTTGTTGTATGCTATCTGCCTCAAAGGAAGATGTATTTTCAGATTCACCTAAAGGAATCAAAAAGATCCGTGGTCTCTGAGAACCCTCATGCCTTTCAAGACCATGGTACTCCTCTATCATATTTTGAAGATCCTCATCAGATGACACAGATATAAGAGCATCAAGATCCTCACTTGGGAGCTGGTACTTGATCGTATGAGGTTGGTTGCAAAAACCAGAAGTTTTTTCCACAAGCTCTTCCCACGAGATATTCTTCCTGAAGGAAATAATCCGTGTCTCCCCCCCAACATACCTGAGTTTCCCATCGCTAGGCCTGGGCAAAATTTTTCCACCAAAGCTGCAAAGAAATTTCATCTTCCCAGATTGAGAACCATCCAACACTCCTGACCCATTAAGGTTGTTGGAATGAGGGGACTCAGACATATAAATAGGCAGGGTAGTTGGTCCAAAACCAGCCCGGTCAAAATTCAGTTCTCCAAAAGCCTTCCTTGATCCTTGTCTGCTATCAACTTCCTCCCTGTTGCATCTGCTTAACTTGTCAACACAAACGTTGTTTTCAATCTCTTTACACGACCCTTTCGCCGAGACAAAATCAGATGTATCAGATGCACACTCAGAATCCGTCCTCCTCAACCCCAGAATACCAGTAAGATCCTGATAGCCCAGCTGATAATTCTGATTATAATTCAATCCAACCTTATTTTCACAATTCTCAACCGTATCAGTCACAGCAGGAACTCTTGTCGCTGCAAAACGATCCTGAAGAAACTCCATGGAAAATTCCTCCCCTGTCTGTACAGAGACATGATTGTGTACATTCTTAACCTTGTTTGGAACAACTAAGGTTGCTTCTTTCTGGATCCATTGACCTGATGGGCCAGGCACCTCATTGGTCATGGTATCAAAAAAATGCTCGGACCTGCTTAGCTGCATAAGAACGGTGACTCAGCTACCTGAGCTCCTATAACCCCCTATCCTCAAATTGGCAAATTAAGAACAGGCATACAAGTCACTCTTCATACCAGCAAGCCTCAACTCCAATACTTCTTTTCCACAGTCATCAAGAAGCTATCTTTTCCATTAAAATAACTTTCTTGGCAAATCACGATCAAGTTCATAAACCCTGTACATCTTCCTCCGTTTACTGATGCAGTATTTTTCTATGATCCGATCACCAAACCGGAAACTACCAAAGTCCACCGATTTCTACAGAAAAATAATCCCTCTATCTATATGTGTTTGTTCAATTGCAGCCTATACAATCACAAATATGAAATGAATATCATTTACAGATTGGACTAGTAGAAGCTGAGACCAGCAAACAAGAACAATCGAAGTCCAATTTCTTTAGCAAATCGTTTCCTGCAGTCACAGATCCATAATACAATTTCTCTAAGAACCCATCATTCAAAATCAAAACCAACAACATATCGTCCAAATTACCATCAACATTTTCAAAGCAGAGCTAAACATATCACACACAGCATAAAACCACAAAATCAAAAGCGAATTTCAGGTGGGCATGCTTAAAACTGAGATGGGTACCGATCAAAATGGAAAGGAAACAAAATTGCAGAAGAAAAATTCAAAATTTCAAGTACCTGATGATGGGTGGGAAGGGGGGTGCGTGTGGCTCTGTCTGTGTGTTGCAGCTGGGTTTTGGAGCTGGGAAGCTGTCATTGGTGTGAAGAGGGAAGAAGAAGAATAAGGGAAAATTGGGAAAAAGAGAAAGAGAGGGGATTTGGAGATGAAAAGGGAGCGTGGCTTAAGGCTACAGGTTCAATCTCGGGCGTCGGAGAGCGACATTGCCGAGAATTAAGCGGCATCGACCCACCCACGGTATTGCCTTTTAACTGTATCAATAACAAATAACAATATTATTTCATTTTATTTTATTTCATTTCATTAGTTTATTTGTTTTAAATATTCATCTATATCCTACGGGGACCCCCAATTTAAAATCCAAATTTGAAGTTTTTTTTCAGAATAATAATAACGATAATACCAATGATAACAAAAATAAAACAAAACCAGTCATTAGTTATAAGTTATAACAAATACAACTTCTTTCTATCTAAAATTTCATAATTCACTAATGAATATAACAATCACCGTTATAAGATAAAATTTACATATATATGTAATTATGTGCGCATAAAAATACCTACATTTAAAATTTGTCTCGTATTTACTCTAAGTTAGTTTACGGATATGAAATTGAACCTTAAACGAAAACATATATTAAAATAAGGTGGTTTTTGTATGTTTTTAAGGGAAAAAAAAAATGTTACACGTGGGCCCTAGCCTCTTCACTAATCAAAAGGGACATTTACCCTTTTTTTTTTTTCTTTTTTTTCAACATTTACCTTTTTTTCGTTGTTTAATTGCATTTGCATATAGTGTGGCGCCTGCCTGCATCGGCAACAATATATGGCAAAAATATTAACCAATTAGGGGAGGGGAGTGTATTAAATATGGTTTTAGGTTGTCAACGGTGCCTTTTGGTTGGCAAGGCAGCTACTGGCTCCACCGTGGCACCACGGGAACATGTCAGCACTCAACACCGACTTCTTTTTTTCTCAAAGTTTGCAAAGTTTTAGATTTGTGTTGACTTGACTGTTAGCCGTTAGTTGTTGTTGCCCAACATGGCAAGCACGCTACATAGACTCCTTCCTCTGCCATCAAGATCATTGTAGCCAACTACTTGCAGACTTAGAGGTACCCCATAAAGTTTGAAATATACGCCATGGATTTTGCTAGAAACAGTCGAGTGAGTGATTTGGAATCGTTTGATTATCAAGTAGAAGGAATTCGCTTATTCGTTAATGAACAACTGAGAATCACTAACGCACATGTGCAAATAAACATTGCTTGCATATTGATAGTGGCTTTGATTTTGCTAAAGACCGACCATGTTCGAGTGCACAAATGTAGCACTATATTATATATGTGTGTCATCATTGACTATGGACACACATTGTCACCCAAATATTTGCCATTACAGTGAGTTACTTGCATATGACAAGAAGAGATGGTAATTGAAGAGGTGAATAGGCAAATGGAGTGATCATTTTGTGGCATTTAAATCCTACCACGTCAAGCGGAAGTGTTGGTAATAATAATCATTAGCACAATAATAAAAAAAATCCATTACTTAGGTCAAAAAGTGTCATGCTCATGTGTCAACTACCACATTGAGAGTTATTGTCATGTTCTTAGTGCAGTGAGAATATAAAATATAGCCATAGGGGCTACTTCAATAATAACATTCGAAATGTGGACAATTCGTTATTTCAACAATATGAAGAGTGTAGAATGTGACAAATGTTATAATAAATTAGTAAATACGAAGTATGTGGGATGAGAGCGACAAATTTCTTTGAGTGTAACCGTCGTGTTGTCACTTAATGTTACTAATCCACTTTTTTATAAATAAAATACAAGTGTCATAATAATACGCGTTAGTCGAAAATTTATCAATAATAGTGATTTGGCCTGAAGAAAAGGGTGAATGTGTAATTAGTATATTTCCTAATATTACAGATAATGGACTGGACTACCATATGCCACGATTGGGCCAGCAGCCCAATAAATTAGTTATATCTAGTTACTTGGCCCAATAAATTAGCCATATATAGCTACTCTTGGACCTTGCGTACACGTAGACGTAGAGTTTGGTTTGAAAGCAAGACGTGGTCTCCAAATCATCAACATGGCTGGTACATTTTCACTTGGAATTATAAAACGTACTCAAAAGAGAATTATTTCCTTAAAACCGAACTTACTAGCATGCCAAATTTAAAATCAATTGTTTGTTGCCAAATAAGCGATAATATTTTATTAAATCAATTAAAAAGTACATAGAGAGTCATTTCGATTTGCGATAGTATATTTAACATCAATTTTTAAACCAAAATTATAAGACAACAGTAAATTAACGTAAAAGTTGTTTCCAAAATCGGGACATGAAAATTCTTTTGAGCAAGTCCCGTTGGCATTTTTCGTACCACGGTAGTAAAATGAAGGTCTAAACAGCGTGGCTGATAAAAAATACAGGTCACGCTAACAGTTTGCATACGTGTCGCGTACTCAACGAAGCGCACAACACAATCCCCTCCTTACAGCGATTAACAGGAAGCAAAGCACTTCACCCACTTTTTTCGAACGTGCTTTTCTCCTTCTCTCTCCCTTAGCTTCCTCAGCCTCGGCCTTGTGTTCCGGAGGACAGGAGAGCATAAGATTCTCGCTCTCGGGAATCTTGGAAGACTTTCTCGGAAACCAAACACGCTCTACGCCACTCTCTACTCAAGTTTCAGCCTTCTTCTGTGAGGTTCGCCGGATCTGGATCACAACAAGCCACGCCACCCGGACTGCTAGCCGGATTCGGTGGCAGTCATGGCGGAACCGACGGACAATAGACGGAGCTCTTCGGGGATTTCCGGAGAGGTTCCGGTGAGAATCGAGGAAGAAACTGGCGGCGGAAGTAGCGGGAATAGTGTAGAATTGGAGAGTACAGCGGCCAGAGGCCACGGTGGCAGTAGCTCTACAGGTTTGTAGGTTTCGCTCCAAATTTAGATTCTGTTTGGTTTCTGCGAAAATACAGGAAAATTTATTATAACTTGCTATAATTCCGTGAACGGAGATTTGGTGTCCAATTTACAAATGCATCATCTGATTTTTTTTACTCTCTTCTCAACTTAGGAATTTCTAGCGAGAGTTTGTCTAAAGGGAACACATTACCGGTGGAGATATCATCGAAGACTGAAAAAGTAGAATCAAATTCAGGTCCGCCTAAGCTGGAAAGATCAAAAACTGACAGCACCAGACATCAAAATATATTGCCCAAAGACGCGGCAAGGATTTTTGACGACAAAATTTCGGTACACCAGAAGGTATGAGTTATTATCAGAGATGATATTTTTATTTTGGTTCCTTGTATCATTTGAAAATTGCAGGCTTAAGCTTGTTCCAGTGTTAGTCACAATTGATGTGTAGAATGAGGCAAATGGGATTACAATGCGTTGTTTGTTGTGCAGCTTAAGATATTAAACAGAATAGCTACCGTGAAAGATGATGGGACCGTAGAATTTGAAGTTCCAGGGGATGTTGAACCTCAGTCTCTTGGTCGTGGGTACAAAGCTGCTCCAACTGAAGCTGCCGATGATGAACCTCTTGATGAAGCAGATCTTGAATACATACCCCCAATGCAAATAGTAATGCTTATTGTCGGAACGCGTGGAGATGTGCAGCCATTTATTGCAATTGGCAAACGTTTGCAGGTCACAGGACTTTTTTATAAATGTCTTTTTATTTCTGAGACAAATTGTCTAAAGTGGTGACCATTATTATAACATGATTAGCTTTTATAAACTCTTATGATCTTAGTAAAAATAATTTGTGACTAAGAGTTTGATTTTTGTTTTGGAAAGTTATTGCTATTCAGGATGGTCATGTGCACATATTCAAACTTGTTTACGAAATAATTTTTGTGCAGGACTATGGCCATCGTGTAAGACTAGCTACTCATTCAAATTTCAAAGAGTTTGTCTTGACTGCTGGTCTGGAGTTTTACCCTTTAGGCGGCGATCCAAAAGTCCTTGCTGGTTGTACGTACTGAAATGCCCTATGTGTTGATTCATTTGGTGATTTTGAGCAATCTGTGTTTAGTCTTTTAGTATGTATTGACATATATTGATTGTCTTATATGAATAAACTTGAAATATTTGTCAAAGCTGAATATGAATTCCATTTATAATTTCTGTGTAACTGGTTTACTTTTATGTTTCTTGAGCAGATATGGTTAAAAATAAAGGCTTCCTGCCATCAGGGCCTTCTGAGATTCCTATTCAGCGTAATCAAATGAAGGAAATTATATACTCCTTACTTCCAGCTTGCAAAGAGCCTGATATGGATTCTGGCATCTCGTTTAAAGCTGATGCAATCATTGCAAATCCCCCAGCATATGGTTAGCTCTCGACACTTACATAATTTAAGTAAGCATTTAAATTCTTTTGGTGATATAAATTGGATTTTTTGGTGACAATATTTGTCTCTGCATTTGGGCAATGGTGGGTGGGATCTTTGGTTGTAAATGTTATTTCCAGTTTTGTAACTCTATTAAAACAATGTTCCTTTCCCCCCTTTAAAGAGTTTGTGGATTCTGAAGTGATTACACCGTCATCCCCTAATATACATGTGCATGTTATTGTTATATTGAAAGTTATATTCAGTTATATTTCAGAAAGAGTACTTCGATTGCTTTGTTTACCACTAACCTCACAAATGTTCTTTAGGGCATACTCATGTGGCGGAGGCACTAAAAATACCTCTTCATATATTTTTTACGATGCCATGGACGTAAGTCTCGTTTGGGTAATGGAATCTTACTGGGTTGTATAGCTTGTCAATGTTTTGTCATTGTTGTCATTCTTTAAAGTTTAAATATGCATTGTGTATGTTTTACCTTTTCCTACCAGGCCAACTAGTGAATTTCCACATCCTCTGTCCCGCGTCAAGCAATCAACTGGATATAGGGTGAGTCGTGTGAATTTCAACTTTTCTTTATTCTTTTTAAATGTTTTTGAAAATTATATCCAATTTCCACTTTCATATTTATAATGAGTTCTAACTTTTGGCGTACACAAATTTTCAGCTTTCATACCAAATTGTTGACTCCTTAATTTGGCTTGGTATACGAGACATGATTAATGATGTTCGGAAGAAAAAATTGAAACTAAGACCTGTCACATATTTAAGTGGTTCACAAGGCTCTGATTCTGATGTGCCACATGGATATATATGGAGTCCCCATCTTGTTCCTAAACCAAAAGGTACTTTAGTTCTATTTTATTAGCATGTTGTTCTTCTTCCATTCATAGTCATTTGGAGTTCCTCCGGTTAATAAGGTAGGGTTGTTTTGGAAACTTGTTAGGTTCAAAAAAACTGTGGCTGTAGGCTGAGTGACAATAATACACACAGTGTTGTCTAGGATAGTGTATCGGACCCCTCCATCTACAGGGCATATCTCTTTTCTTTCTTAACATGTTTTTTAAATCACCCCTTCAAAGCAAGTAATTGATTTAAATGTGTTTGTTTTCATGATATATACTTATATCTGTTCTCCTCAGTTTTCATTCAGTTTTTTTGTTTAATTGACAAAGAAGAAAACAGTGGCTTATGAAGGCATGAATCTTGGGAAGTATGCCAATGTCTGTCAGTCTTTTCTACTTAACAATACTTGGTTTGCAGATTGGGGACCTAAGGTTGATGTGGTGGGATTTTGCTTCCTTGATCTTGCATCAAATTATGAACCTCCAGAACTACTTGTGAAGTGGCTTGAAGCTGGTGACAAGCCTATATATATTGGTTTTGGTAGCCTGGTGAGTTTTTTTTTATAAATCTTTTTAATCATTACTCGTTAATATACAATATATATATTGAAGCATACTTGAGAAGCCTTGAGACTTGCTTCCAATCTTGAGGATGGACTCCATAATTATCCATCTATGATAGAATAATTGACTTTCTAAGGACACCATTAATTCACTTTAAAACCGAGATCTTCTATGAGGAGAAATTCAATGCCATTTTCAATCAATTTGATTCTATTATTCTATGATTATATTGTATATAACATGAAATGATCTTCGAAAAACCTTTAGATACGCAATTGGGATTGCTATTTGTGGTTAGTTTACTGCAAGCTAAAAGATTAGATCTGGTTAGTAGACAATGGCAAATTATTTACTGTCTCGAGGATAAAGAAAACTAGTGTTTTTCAGTAGACATTCTTTTACATTATTTTTCAGTCACATATACACTTACGCAGATCACATGCATGGACACGTGTACGCACAAGCGCGCACACACACAATTGCACATTCGTATATATGAATGCACATACCTACATTCATGCATACAAATGTAGCTTTCTGTGACCAGAATTTACTGCCTTGCGTCAGCCTGTTCAAGAGCCACAAAAAATGACCCAAATAATTGTGGAAGCATTGGAAAAGACAGGGCAAAGGGGCATCATCAACAAAGGCTGGGGTGGCCTTGGAAACTGTAAGTTTTTAGTTCCCACAAGCTTAGTATGATTTCATGGTTATTATGAGCGTGGTGCTATCCTACTTTTTCCCTTCTCCATTTTATTGCCTATCTAGCTGACTTCTGGAATGCACTAATTTATTTCACTTGATTTGGTTTCTTCCCAGTGGCTGAACCAAAGGACTTCATATACTTATTGGACAACTGCCCTCATGACTGGCTGTTTTTACAATGCAAGGCTGTGGTGAGCTGAATACCTTAGTTTTGTAGTTTTCACTCTGTAGTTTTAAACTGAAGAAAGGGGCAAATAGAAAAAAAGGAACATCACCAATGAGTTCCATCTTTTATTCTTAGTATGATTTTGAGATCTATAGGAGAATATTGTGTACTGGGCAAGAGGATGTGAAATTATTAGGATGGTGGCTTTGTAACGTTTAAAATTTTATTCTACAATCTCTTAATATTTCCAAGCTTCAACTCTTTGTTTCTCGACATGCTTTAAAGTAGTTTTAGATCTTAGACAGTTCTTATGGTTTGATTTGGCTTCAGGTGCATCATGGAGGTGCTGGAACAACAGCTGCTGGTCTAAAAGCTGCAGTAATTGTTTTATAACCTAATTTATTGTTGAGTGCTTTCAGCTCATTTGAAAAAAAAAAAAAACACCATTATCAATGTTTCTATTTTAGAAGTTCCAGCATATAAGAACATCCAGAACATCAGTACTTACGAAAGTACAAGCAAGCCTTAACTTTTTTAGTTTGGCTCTAATAAGAAATCTTCATGAAATACTAAGAAGGTTTATTATCATGGTGGATACTGGGATGAGAAAAGCACCTAATGAACTTACCTAAATATTATCCCAGGTGAAGGAGCGTGCTGTTGAACTTGCCAAGGATATGGAGAATGAGGATGGCGTAACAGGTGCAGTGAAGGCCTTCTTTAAGCATCTTCCTTGCAGAAAGCCTGACCCCGAGCCAGAACCAGGGCCATCGAGCCTTTTCTCTGTAAGCAGATGTTTCGGTTGTTCCTGAAAGTCTTTCTGTGGCATTTTTGACTAGCCATTCAATCTGTTTATCACAGCATAGCATGAATAGATGTCCTGACTATGCTTACAAAGAAAAAGAAAATTCAGGCCCCTACTCATAGTCTTGTTCATAATTCTCGACCCTACTTGAAAATTTGTAATTATTTATATTGTTCACTTTCAAAATTTATGCAGAGAAAGCCATGATTGTTCTAATTTCTCCCCAAGGATTAATTGTACATTTTTGAATGCTGTTGCTTCCACGCTAATTTGCAAATGGAAAACTCCTTTTTTTTTTTACTAAAGAAATATTCACTTGGGGCCAAAGCACTCAGAGGTTGTCTGTCTGCTGTCACAAGCAGTTCTGGGCTATAAAATGACTAATTTTTTTTAATAATTATATTATGATATGGTTGTTCGGCATTCAAATTCTGTTCTGTGGTTCCGAGTTTGGACAAGAAAACAAAACAATGGTTTGATTCTCACAAACCAGAAGATAACGTGGCATGGAACTCTGACGCAGTGCTGGCTATTTTCAGCTACTGGGTTGGTGACACGTGTAACTGAGACGTGCTGATTGGCAAGTATTGGATTCTCTTATTGGGCAAGTGACACTGTGACGTGAGATTGCAGTGGAGGATTGCATGCAAATTAAAATGGGATTTATTGAAAGTGACCATTTACAACATGGGATGGCGGTGGAGAATAGAGAAGAGGAAACTAGTGGCCGTTAGCCCCATCACCATTTATAGAAAAAAGCAGAGGATTAATTTAGCAGAAGAAGCCATTTCCCGATCTGCATGCACAGCGAGAGAGAGAGAGAGAGAGAGAGTCTCAGAACAAGTGGGGGACTGAGTTTAGCTTTTAAGTCACCCAATCGTTCCATTTTGGCCTTTGGAGATCACAAACCTGATCATGTAAGCTTAGCTACTCTGACACTCTGTGACTTCTTCCATTGCTTCTCTCTCTCTCTCTCTCTCTCTCTCTAATTTATTAGCCACTAGACTTTCATTAATCTTGGGTTTTCTTAAAATTGTTAACTTGGCTAATTACCAAAAACAGAGTTAGTGAAGATAAGAAACCGCTCCACTCAAGAGTTGCAGGTTGTATCACACTGGTTTTGATTGGGGCAGGGCAGCAGTGTCTTTTTCATAAATGTAGGGGACCTGATTAGCCAAAACCTTAATTGGGGAAAGTAAATTTAATTCAATTCAATCCAAGTTGCTTTTGCATGCTGAGGGTCAATTGAGTGATTGGTTAATTACAAGAGATGATTAAATTTGGAGTTGGGAAGTGGAATCTTCTCTCTCTCTCTCTCTCTCTGTTATCTCTTCTGTTCCCAAGCCCATACACCCCTCTGTTTCAAGCACTCTATTTAATAATTATACTCAGAGACTCTTCACATTTTCCAACTCTTTGAGAGTAGTTAGCTTCTGAACTCTCTTATTTTCACTTTCTGATCAGACATACCACATTTTTCCGTCTTTCTCTTTCTTTCCTCTGTTCTCTCTGTCAATTTCTTCTCAACCCAACTCAACTATTTCTTCCACACTTTTTCAAGGTTAGTTCCTCAACACTATTTGGTTTTCTCAATTGGGTTTTTGTCCTTTTCCATTTCTCTCACAACATCAGTTTTTAATTTTTGTTTGCAGCCATGGAAGACGAGGATCAGAAAGGCACAACCCATGTTGATCAAGAAAGCAATGAAGAAGACAGAGACATAACAATCACCTCAAGAGTTTTTCCATGTCTCTTCTGTTCAAGAAAGTTTTACAGTTCTCAGGCCTTGGGAGGCCACCAAAACGCTCACAAAAAGGAAAGAACAGCTGCAAGAAAGGCCAAACGAGCTTCTGAATATGCATCCTCAATGAACTTTCCAATACTTTCACACACTACACAACCGCCAATGATTTTTGCTCCGAACCATCATCACCATCTAGGCCTCCAGCATCCTTCAATGTATATAACTGCTCATGCAGCCAACCTCAGATACTTTCCCAGCCCTCAGCAATTTTCATCCGACGGTTTCGGATCCAACGGTGGAGCCAAGTTTGAGAATTTAGTGTACTATGGTGGAAATTTCTCATCAAGCAATAACATTAACGGTTATAAGTGTGAGGAGGATGAGCAGAGTTTCTTGAATTGGCAAAGGAGCATAAGGTACAATGGCTTCAGTGGAGGAGGAGAAGGTTCCTCTCAACATTCTTCAGAGAAAAATGGCAATCACAGTCCTGGGATTGGTGATGATAAGGGTAAGGAGCAAAAGCTTGATCTTTCTCTGCATTTGTAGAAAATAGAGATGGTGTGGAATTGGATTATGGATATAGCAGCAGCTGCGTAGAGATCAAGTTGCAATTTTTGGTCCCAATAATAATTAAGCATCTCTTTTAGCTTTAGTTAGTCATTTTTTAGGTCTTGTACTTGCCAATTATAATGGGTTTTTACCATTTGGCCAATTATTTTGATGTATTAAATGGCACAGACTAGGCATAGCTGGTCATTGTTCAAGAATATCTCCATTTTAATTACAAATGTTGAACTCTACCCAAGTTTGAATCCCTCCTCTCCAGTTGATCAAAAAGAAAAGAAACCCTGCCTCTAGTTCATAATGTTTTGGTTAGAACAATTTCTAATTCTAACCCAAATGTGACTTTAATCCCAAACCCCAACTCATATCTGGGTTTGAATTGAATCTAACTTGAAACCCATATATGGATTTGAATATAACTTTGAGTTGCATTGGAGCATCTCCAAGGCTATAGGCAAATGAAGTAGGCAAAAGTTTACTATATAGACTAATGTGACATGTTGCCTATTCAGTTGCCTATTGAAAAAAAATACTACTTTTTTACCTACCTACCTGCCTCTTCCCTTGGAGCATGAAAATGCTGATGTGGCAAGGCAAATGAGGTTTGCCCACCCTTTTATCTCTTCCTCGGAGATGCTCTTAGGCGACATCATTTTGGACCCAAAATATAAGAATTTGGATATTGCATCGGTTATGGGCTCATAGAACAAAGCTTAAAGCAAAGAAAAAAGCCCAACTCATACGACTGGAGCCATGAAACTTAGAGCGGAGGAGAAAGCTCAATGGCCTATATAACAAATGTTGGGCCAGCATAAAACAACGGGTATACTGCCGAATTGCCCCCTGAATTTGTACATAATTATCAATTTACCCCCTGATTTTTTTTTTTTAGCGAATTAAGGGCTCGAATTAAATTTTATTATAAATTTCCCCCTTGCCGTCCAAATTCTCAACA